CAAAAACCAGTAGGAGAACACTTTAACCTGTCTGGTCATTCAATGACAGACCTGCGGGTGGCTATTTTACAACAGAAAAGCTTCAAAAACAGACTCCAACGAGAAACTGCTGAACTCGAATTGATATGCAAATTAGACACAATCAATTTAGGTTTGAATAAAGACTGGGAATGGCTGAGCCATTACAAACATTGAATCTATCTCCCCATGTAAGTACTCTCACACTTCTTATCAACCTATTTGTACTGGGCTATCTTGATTATCACTTCAAAAGTTTTTTTTCTCTTACTTAATTGGCCTCTCTGAGTTGGTAAGACAACTCCCACCTGTTCATGCTCTCTGTATGTGTGTGTATATATATCTCCTCAATAAATGTTCCATTCTATGCATCTGAAGAAGTGGGTTATAGCCCACGAAAGCTTATGCTCAAATAAATATGTTAGTCTCTAAGGTGCCACAAGTACTCCTGTTCTTTTTGCAGATACAGACTAACACGGCTGCTACTCTGAAACCAATTATTTCAATCTTCCCTCATAGGTCATGTTTTCTAGACCTTTTAATCATTTTTGTTGATCTTCTCTGGACTTTCTCCAATTTGTCCTCATCTTTCCTGAAATGTGGCACCCAGAACTGAACACAATACTTCAGTTGAGGCCTAATCAGTGTGGAGTAGAGCAGAAGAATTACTTCTCGTGCCTTGCTCACAACACTCCAGCTAATACATCCCACAATGATGTTAGCTTTTTTGCAACAGTGTTACACTGTTAACACATATTTAGCTTGTGGTCCACTAATACCCCCAGGTTCCTTTCCACAGTACTCCTTACTAGGCAATCATTTTCCATTTTGTATGTGTGCAACTGATTGTTCCTTCCTAAGTGAAGTATTTTGCATTTGTCCTTATTGAATTTCATTCTATTTACTTCGGACCATTTCTCCAGTTTGTCCAGATCATTTTGAATTTTAATCCTATCCTCCAAAGCACTTGCAACCCCTCCTAGCTTGGTATCATCCGCAAACTTTATAAGTGTACTCTTTATGCCATTATCTAAATCATTGATGAAGACATTGAACAGAACCGGACCCAGAACTGATCCCTGCAGGACCCCACTCATTATGTCTTTCTAGTATGACTGAACCACTGGTAACTACTCTCTGGAAATGGTTTTCGAACTAGTTATGCACCCACCTTATAGTAGCTCCATCTAGGTTACATTTCCCTAGTTTGTTTATGAGAAGTTTATACAAGACAGTATCAAAAGCTTTACTAAAGTCAAGATATACCACGTCTACCACTTCCCCTATATCCACAAGTCTTGTTACCCTGTCAAAGAAAGCTATGAGGTTGATGTGACATGATTTGTTCTTTCTGTTTGTTGGGTTCTGTAAGCCTGGTAACCTCTACAGTGTTAGGGCAATGCAAGACAGCTTACTTCAACCTAGCTATGGAAGTGTCCACACTTAAATTTCACTCCCTCTGATGTAACCACCCTGCTACACTGACTTAATAACGCCATCTCCACGAACGGCATAGATTCCAAATCGATGTAGTTCGTTCAATGCAGTGTCAGTATAGAGCCTGTGCTGCTTACATCAACCATTACTGGCTTTCAGAAGCTGTCCCACAATACTCCACACTATCAGTACAATTGGTACAAGCACTCCTAGGATGCGTACTGCTGACACAAGGAACAAAGTGTGGACACGCAAAAGCAATGTAATAACAGCGGCGGCTGTATGCCAGTGTAAGTTAGGTCAACTTCATTTTGTAGTGTAGACGTGGCCTTAGTTCCAGGGGTATATGGAATGCAAATGTTTGCTGTTACATTATAGCATGGGATACAGCTGAGTGAGAACAATACATGTGGAGTCCTACAAGCATTTTATAAACCACTAAACACATTCTTATCAGCTAAACATCTAATATTCCTTTTGGCGATGCTAGCACACAAGCAGGCAAGACTAGTTTCCAACTATGCATTTCTAAATGTTCAGTCAGGCCAGGGGCCTTGGCATGGCCTGGCACCTGGTCTGCCAGCATCACACCTGAATGTAAGAGAATTACCAGGACGGGTCATGGATTTTAAGGTCAGATGGGATCATTGGGGTCATCTGATCTGTCCTTCTCCGTAACACAGAATGTAAAGTTTCACCCAGTGATTCCTGCAGCAAAACTTGTAACTTTTGGCTAAATCATAGGATCACTTTTATAGAAAGACAGCCTTGATTTAAAGGGACTGAGTTTCCTCACCATGTAAATGGCCTTAATGTAGATGGAGAATTTTCCACATCCTTCAGTAAGTTGTTCCAGTAGTTTATTACCCTCACTGGTATATATTTGCATCTTATTTCCAGATTTAAATTGCTGCCTTTAAACTTCCAGCCTGTCAAAGTGCTAGTCGAACACCCCCTCTTGGCCACTCCCCAGACTGCAGTGAGGGGATCCAGTGTGTTTTAAGAGTCCGGAGTCTGAATGGGCTCCAGGCACTGCTGCTAGTTTTGGATCCTCTAAGCACTCCCAGGGCACAGGCCGTAATTTAAATACACCCATCCATGTGATCATAGAATCATAGAATATAAGGGTTGGAAGGGACCTCAGGAGGTCACTAGCCCAACCCCCTGCTCAAAGCAGGACCAATTCCCAACTAAATCATCCCAGCCAGGCCTTTGTCAAGCCGGGACTTAAAAACCTCTAAGGAAGGAGATTCCACCACCTCCCTAGATAACCCATTCCAGTGCTTCACCCCCCTCCTAGTGAAAAAGTTTTTCCTAATATCCAACTTAAACCTCCCCACTGCAGCTTGAGACAATTACTCCTTGTTCTGTCATCTGCTACC